TTCCCCCTTTATGTGAAATTGTGCTGACTGAGCCCTCAGAATCTAAAGCATGGTGTTTTGTGAATACATTTAGCTTTAAATATTATCCGTAGGTAGAAGTACTACTGGAAAGATATCGGCTTTCAGGTGGCTGTCTTCTTTGATGTTAATCCCGCCGTGCCATAATACAGTTCGGCAGAATTCCAATCAAACTTTGCTTCTGTAAAGCTCGTATGAATTTCAGGATTCTTCCTCACCTGGTATTAAGTCACTACGTAATCACGTTACATGTTCAAAGATTTGTGTGAATGAGAAACCCAAGGGATGTAAAATAAGAGTACAACAGACTATCACGTAAATCAAAAGTAACTTTTTCAAAACAAAAATACTGCTGAGTCTGGATTTATGTGGCATTGATGTCTAAAATGGGATCCGAGTAAACATACTATGGCCTCATTTCTTATTTTCTTTCATTGTTGGGGTTGCTCTTTATGTCAATGTACACATTGTACAGTACATTATACAGTGCATGCATTTGTGTATCATGTGCGTGTCACATGGTGTTCGGAGTTTGTTGAGCTCAGGGCAACATTCAGAAAGGTAATTGTTGTCTGCGTAATTGTTGTGTACGTAACCTGCGTAGTACTTAGTAGGGCTGAGTGTACATGTATGATCTGTGGCGGTACCACATCTTCCGAAATTCTTTGGTTTTGGAGCAGCTGTTGGATGAATGACAAGCCATGTGTTGCAGTTTCTTATGCAGAGGGTGGATTACTGTAGGGTCGTGAGGCACCCTCATTGTTCTGCATTTTGCTGGGCAATGAGAGGGAAGAGAAACACAAACTTTCACAAGCAATGGGTACCAGGGCTGAGTAGGCCAACATGGAATGATCACAACTGCCTGGGCAGCATCCTCTTCAAGTTTTTGCAGGACTCTCGCTATGAGAAAAATACTGGGAATGCAGTCCCCAGTTTATAGTGAATGCATCAGTTGTGTACGCTTGCGTATCTGGGTGCCAAGATGCACACATGTATATCTGTATTTGGTAATGAGGCTTGAGGCAAACATGTCGAAGATTGGGCTAACTCAACCGAGAATGTTTTCAGCATCAATGTAGAAATCTTTTCATTGACTTGCCACTCAGTGTGGTCCTGAAAATACCTTGATGCCCAGTCAGCTGAGATTTTCAATTTTCCTGGGACAAAGACTGCCATTAGCCAAATATTTCAATCTTTACACCATAACCAAAGGTCTCTTCTGACTAAATTGCAGTCTTTAGAGTGAGGACCACCCACGTGATTAATGTCCATCACTGCTGTGATGTTGTCTATTTGAAGCAACACATGTATGTCTTTGGACACATGGAAAAATGCTTGGGGGGTAAAGTAAGTACAGTCGACTCTCGTTAATACGAGGGCCTTGGGACTTTCTAAATTAGCTCGTATTATCTGGACCTCGTCTCATGCGAAAGCTGCTGTCCCGCTCGTCACATGTGTAACCGATCGACCGCATCGTTAAGCGTACATCATGTACAACTTCCTGTACATACATGTAGGCCTACATGTACTTTGTATGCACATACGTGTGGTTTGGAATTTAATTTCAAAACAGTTTATGTTAATGAAAATGAGAAGTAACTGTACTTTTTATGAATAAAGACTTGAAATAAAAAACAATGACATAATACAAGAACAGAGAAACCGGTAAAGTCGAGTTGGAGGGTGCATGGTTGGAACAATGCCGTTTTACGTCCCCAGCATGCTGTGATGAGATCGTCATACAACGCACACACGTAAGTACATTAACATTTTAGGTGGTAACCATTTTGAGATTGACCAATATGTCGCTGGCTTGAAGTAAGGGCACTAAGGAAGTCAACTGAGTTTCTTAGTCTTTTGAAGTTTTATGTCTTCACGTTAAGTGGTTGTACAAAGTGTACTCCAGATTTCAGGGTTCACCTTAGTGCCATCCATTGCATCACAGTTTTCTGGGTAGGGGTATATTTTTATCTTTCTGTGAGCATTTTATGTCAGCCATCTTTGATTTCAGCATAGCGTTCATCACTTGGCCAATTCAGGTTTCATCCCAGGACCTGTCTTGTTATCATCACTGAAGTCCTGCATGATGTACTCCCAAGAAAGCTGCACTGTCTGAAGGATCAGCTGGTTTGTTGGTCAGATTAGCCTCAGCTTGAGTGCTGTTTTCGTCCTTTGAGGCTAGCAGTATGTTCAGCACCTGATCTTGGTCACCTTCGTGCTTCCCAACTATGCACGTTGAAGGAGCTTTGCTTTCTTTGACAAAGTTGATGGTGCCTGCTCTGTTGGCTGAGTTGCAATGCCAGTACATGTACTGGGCATACCCAAAAAGCTGATCAGTTACTTAAAACCCATCCTGCAGTCTATGTGACAGAGCGTTTGAATTGATTGTTGTTGCATTGACTGAAAGCAGGTAGTCATTGTATTAAACAATGCCGCCTTTGAATTGGCTGGTTTCTCGGGAGTGCCTGCCTTGGGTGTGGCTCATTTGCCGCTGGCTGGTTTAGCAACTGAAGTCGCCATATTCCTAGTACTTTCGGTATGTTTGTGATGTTTGCAGAGTTGGACGTGGGACTGTAACCTTGAGTTGTACCTGTGTTGTAGTCTGGCTTTTGGTTTATCGGAATCAACCATTTTCCATTCTGGCCCTGGCCTTGTACAGTAAACAAGTTTTCAACTGGCCCTGCATAAGTGATGTCCTTTTCTTTCCCTGGAGAAATCTAAGTCTTATTTGCAGCAGTACATGCAGCTGTACGTACTGGATTACCAGCTAGCTTCAATGCTGTTCCAAAAAGGGCATGGACATTGTCTGTACAAATTACGAATATGTGCAATGGTGCTTATCACCGAATGTCACTTCCGAAGGCTGTGAAGTTAGATTACGCACTGAAAGCTCAGTCAGCGCAATCTCACATGATCACCAGGCGAGGTGGAATTACAGTTTGTAATATTTCATTTGATGAGTTGAAGGTAAGTAGAGTGAAACATTTCATGTGTTACCCACAAAATTATTGTTTCCATTGCACTCATAAACATTTTTTATTTGCTTTGTACAATTAATACCTGCATAAATCGATTGCATGGAATGATTCCTTTATGTACTGCCATTTCCCTTCTCAGCCCTGCATGAAATCATGACAAGAAGTTGTCTAGTTATGAATCAGTTAATTATGCCGGAACAGATGTTCCTATCTGTCTTGCAAGTTTACAAAACTTCACCGAGTTGTTTATGTTAGCAGCTTTAGCATCTCCTTTTAGAACAGATGGTCTTCACATATTAACTTCTCCCATTTTGTGAAATAGATTCATGTCTGAATCATCACCCGTGCAATGTTAGACTGGTTCTTGGCCTTGCATTATTTTCCTCTTTCTTACTGGGAATGAAATGGGGGCAAAACGAGTCAAGTGAAATGAGGTTTACCTTAAAATTGTGAAATTCGAGATAAAAATATTGGTCCAACAAGACATTCACGTTAATGGCAAAAATTTATGTCACATTAGGGTACGTAATCCTAAAGTTTCAGCAATGCGTAAAAAAGTTTTGCTATTTAAAGTACATTAAATGTTTCATCAGTCCTCGAAATTGCCAATTTTGGCAGGCTGGATGAGTGTCATCCTGGCTCGATTGTTCGTGCTGCAGTTTTTTTGTTGTTTTTTTCAACAGTCACCAATTGACCAGTAAAATAATAAACAACATAGACTTTACAGCGATAAAACAGCCCCCCCCCAAAAAAATGAACAGACTCATCACACTATTTGTGAGGTGAAGGTACTTAAGGTACATTTACAAGTCTATTCAGTGCCTGTGGACTGGTTTCCTTTATTTGGAATACATGATTAGAATGAACGTAAACGGCTACCAACGAAAACCTGATTGCCTGACCCCCAGAGCACTGTACGCCACTTGCATGCAAGGGCAGCTGGCTGGCCAGCCCAGGCTATGCTAGGCTATGGTAAGGCACGGTGCTGGGTCTGTGACACATTTCATTCTTCAAATGTTGCTGTATAAGCCACCTGGAGTATATCTGTAAACCGCATTGACATTGATAATCAGTGTATAAGCTGTGGCCTGTATTCCAAAACTTTGAAGACTGTAGAGAATGGGGAAACCTAATTGAAAAAAAGTAGCAAGGCAGTTATTTAAGTAATAGGTCTCTCTCAAATTACATCACCTTCTGTAAATTGCCATGTGCATTGGTGTTTTGGACATTAAATTTTCATGACATGCATCGGCTGTACCCTACATGAAGTTTGAAGATGTTTGGATGAACATGCATGTGTGTGTGATATTTGCATACTGTGCCCACACACACCTGGTAGCATTGGTTATACAGTTGTAATTTCCTACAAAGATGGCAATCTTTGAGAGAGATCTGTAGGGTTGGTACTGACTGTTCATGTGAAAAATACAATTGGCATTTCATAGTTACATGAAAATACATGTATTTTATTTTTTTTAATCAATGGTCATGAAACAACCTTGCAGCATTCATATTTATTTCATGTGATGCTTAGAGTTTAATACATGTACTGTATATTATTACTTTTTAACACATTGTTCTGTGTATTATTACTCTTCAACATGTAGATGTGTAGGAGAAATGTACTTCAAGACAGACAAACTTAAAAACTGGAGTCCACAACCACAAACCCTTGCAGGCTTTGAACGTATTCGCACTGTTGGAAAGGGTTAGTACTCTTGCATTTAGTTATCTCAATTTCACACAAAGTCCACTTTAGGTACATTCAGAAACCATTTGAAATTTGTGTGAAATATTTGTTCATATAATTTAGTGTATTCCGCTTGTAAAAATGTTGCAGCCTTAGGTTACACCGAATCAGTTTTTTCTTACTACTAACACAGTGATTTATAACACCTCCTGTGCTAGGTTTAGCACTGAACCAAAATGGTTGAAAATTTGATGCAGTGTCTGATTTTAGCTAGAATACTTCTGTTTTTAATAGTCAGTGCATTTTCTGGGTTTTCTAGGCATACTTTTGTTGATTAACAAGGCACACAGTTCAGCATGTAGCATGCACTGCCATCTGCCCTTTTAGCACATGCACGTACTGTATGTTCTTGGTTTGTATTTTATGTTTGCCCGGCCAAGTACTTAAATTTCTTTTATTGGTTGTTGAACTAAAGCAGATGTGGAAAGTATTTCAAAATAGTTCACCATCAAGGCAAAGGCCTCGTATAGCTACATGTATGAAGAACTGGACTACATGGATATTACATTTAGCAAAGAGCAGCAGTAAACCTCGGAGCGAACTCACACCCTTGGGTGGCTGTGGGGATTATTTTATCAAGTTGAACCTCATGTTGATTCACATGTTTGCTACATAATGTACTTTTCTAACAATGGCAGTGTGACTCTCAGTCTGCCAAAACATTTCACACGAGAAGGTTTCAACCTGATGTAAGATTCGACAAACATAGAAACAAAAATAAGAATTGGAAGAAAATCACTTCTTTAAATCTTCAAAGTGATATCCTTTTATGGGATGTGTTGCAGTGCACCCTGCCAGAGTGATTTGCTGTGCCGCATCTCTAATTCCACTGTGGAAAAAATTATGCCTAGTATCACAACACTGAAACTTAAGCTTGTGATTTATTATTCTTTAACAGATTTCTAAATTCATCTAAAAATATACCAACTGATAACATCACTTTTTCATTAATGTCTTTTCCCCTCAATTTACTGTTGAAACAGAACTTATGTAGTTCTGGCAGAAAGTGCCTTCCATTTTCAGAAAAGAATACTTTCATTTATTCATGTAAAATATACTTCTCTGCTCACACTTCAAGCTCTGTAACACTATGAGAAGCTCAATCTGAAAAAAGTTTCAATGAGCATATGTCTAACTACAAATTACGTGGGGAGTGAAATTTTTTCGGATGAATTTATAATGAACATTTCGTATGTCCAAACAAGTAAAGTGTGTTCCACTTGTCTGACTGATTGGATTGTTTCAATTTTGTAATGCCCCCCCTCCCCCTGAACAACTGTTTCAACTTTTTACTGTTTTTAAGTAAATGCTCTCTGAACATAGCCATTTGCTCCTCACTTGATAAGTACATGGTTGTTTCTAGCACCTACCAACATGATGATTATCTAGAAGACTGGACAGACAAGTGTAGATTTTTCTTCCTAAATGTACAATTTTTTTTTTCTTTATTTACAAGTTGCTTTGTTTTGAATCTTGGCTGGGTCTTCACAGAATCAAACAAACTTGACTGGGATACTCAACAATTCCTCCACCCAAAACATTTACTCATGTTTGTCATTGAAAGGAATTAAGTTTTGTGCCATGCCTCACAGCTGTCTCCAGCCCTCTAGACTATTTTAAAATTTGTTGAACATTTGCCACTGTGCTGGTCTTGAATTTGCCTACAGAGTAGTGTGCCTAAGGAGACGGTGACATATTCATGTTTAACTTCATATATTTCTTGCAGTTAACTGAAACATTGCCTCCCATCACATTGTATTCTATGATATTTCCTTGAACTTTAAAATACATTGATAAGTTTTGTTTTGTGCCAGTGTAAAATAATTTTTTTGCGTGGAAAATGTTTACATTCAGAATGTACAGCTACACAAACAGAGCAGGAGTATGAGGTATTAAATTTTCTTCCATGATTATATTTGCATGGATTCTCCCAACAGTTTCAGTGTGCTGAAATGTTAAATGATACTTTATTAATTCACCAGGAGCATATGGAGCAGCTGTTTTATACAGAAAAAAAGACGATGACTCGTTGGTTATTCTGAAGGAGATAAATATGCTGGATCTTTCAGCTTCAGAACGTCAAATGGCTCTAAATGAGGTAAAGTTTAATAATGGCTTTACATGAAGTTCACTTGAATTGTTTTGAATTTCTGGTACTTATATTAGTTTATTACAAGCATGATGTAAATCCAAATAGTTCAACGTGCATGGATGTTTCTGGAAATTATTTAACATGCTAAAAGCTAAGTACATGTATACAATTAGGATTAAGCAAAAAATTCCATAAAGGAATAAATGAATAAGTACAAACAACCGGGGCCCTGCATGCCACATGTTCACAGTGAACAACTGCACGTGCATGATATACAGCAAAGTTATTTGTCAATCCGGATCAGAAGTATTGATTTTTGGCTTTATTAACCACTTGCCACTGGGGATTCCGGTTTCAAACACATATTCTTTATATGCGTGGCGGGGGTCTCCGAAATTTGACAAAGGGAACTTAGCCTTCTATTAACAAAAGACTGTACTCGTAACAAAAGACCAGGCTGCTAGGAATTACCAACATTTTGTCACTGTCAATAGTGGAGATAATCCAACTTTATTTTGAAACAGTATAGCGAGTGGATTACCACCGCGGACAAAAGCGCTCCACCCCTATTGAAAAGAGGTCAGCAGCGCACTGTGCCAGTTTTGTGAACGAAAGAAAATTACGTAACACCGCACAATCTGGGCTCATTTTACAAGCCGGCAGGCTTGGCTGAAATACTCCAGTGTCAATAGATGTTGTCTGTTAGATTAGAGTAGGAACCAGACAGTCCTTTGTGTGGATATAAGTGTCCAGTAAATGAAGATATGAATTTTTAAAAAAATGTTGAAAACTGAAAAAAAAAGAAGAAAATTATCCCGTCCCAGTATCATCAACATTCATTTAATCACATCCGTAGGAAAACTTAGAATGGAGAATAAAAACAGCTAAAAACACAATTACTGTTTCACTTGCATATAAACAGTAAATACAGTGGAACACCGATAATACGTGCATCGTTAATACAGCATTCTGCCCATAACAAGATAGATTTTAGGTCCCCAAGTCTGATAATTGGTAACACAAGGTCCCTATAAGAAATTGTCATGCCTCTGTCTTGGATACTGTCAATTTTTTTGTCCCAGAACGATCATTTGACAGGGCGATATATCCGCACATCACACTCACCGGGAGATATCTCAACCTGCCAATAGTACGTGCACATGCACCCACACATGTGTTAGACAGAAGAACTTCAGGAAGTTCAAGTGTGAACATTTCCGCTCCTCTAGTCAGTTTTGTGTGGTACCCCTGATACGTTTTGTGCATAGCTACCAGGAAATTCAGTCAGTGATTGCGTTTGTAAATGTATATCCCATCCGACAGTGTATAAGGTAATTCTGGAATAGTTAACTAGACAACATGTACTTACTGGTACCCACACTAGTATCACATTCAAGTTTACAAAATTAAAGAAAGTGAGGGAACAGTGCATTTGCAGATGATATCCTTTATATCTGTTTGGTTAATTATACAGTGTACTGTCTGCAACCTATGCAGATTACCAATACTACGCATTATTTCCTAGTTCATTACTTCCATAGGCTAAATTCTCAATCACCAATAATGTGCCCCTACTCACTCGCCCCCTGCGAAGGCATCGGCCATGTTTGTCCTCTTTTTTTTAGCCCAACATGTTGTTCCAGCTCCAAATTGTTGGAATTTTTTTCCTTCGCTAACGTGTGTTTCAGTGTTATTCCTCGATCACCTTGTTTGTTTATTTGTTCTGACTCTTGTGAGCAGTAAGATTGTTCCTTTTTCATTTTATTTCTAAATATTTTACTGTTTCCTTTTCAGTCTTGCGCAGGTGGCAGACCGACCTTGTATTGAACTATTTCCAGAGTTCACCAGGTGGTGCTGTTGTTTTTGGATAATATTTTTTCCATTGCTTCAGTACATATTGAGTACATGTGTTTATTTATTCTGCTTGCTTGAATATACTCTGCGATTTGCCCCAGTTTTGACATTCTTGTTTATAATTTGATTAGTAATTTTCAAAGCAGCGGTTTTGTTATTTTCGGATATTTTGCTTGTTGATTTTTCTTATCACCGGGTATCTCAGCATTTCTGGTTTCTTGATAATTCTAATGTTTGCTTGTTGATTTTTTGTAATTGGACATTTCGGCGTCTCTGGTTTTTCAGATGTCTCTCTGTGTATTCTGTGTATTACATGATCGAGAACCTGAGGGAAATTCAAGTTAGTCTTCACCCCGCTTCAAGATATTCTCCTGCTTGTGGACCAGGGATAGCTTTAGGTATTTCCAATCCGAACTGCCTTCAGGAGCAAAGTTGAGTCTGCCACTGGAAGGGCCGCTTGGACGACTCTAAACTCGGCACACCGTAACAGACCTCGGTGTGCCGACGGGCGTTATATAGAGCATAGCTCTATCTGTGGGCCTTCACTTTCCCCTATGCTCCACTAATGCCTTTTGGAGCATTGCTGAGTTTGCCATTTGCAGGGCCACTCGGGCAGCTCAAAGCTGGGCACACCGTAACCGACCTCAGTGCTGCTGTTGTGCAAGGATTTCTCTGGTGAACGAGTCTCACCCTTCGGGCCTCTTCAAGCATCGAGCAATGTGTCTGGCCAGTTTCCACTCCTCCACTTTCGGAGTGCGTTTGAGTACGCCCCTTACACAGGCTGCTTAGCGCAAGACTCGGCACCCTGCAGTCAGCTCGGCTCCCCGGTGTTTGTTTGCCATTTCCTGCAGGGCTTTTCTGGTGTGCTCGTCTCACGCTTCCCAAAGTGGGAGCACATTCGAGTTCTCCCTTACGTTGACTAATAGAGACGGGTCCTGGTGCATTACAGTGGTGATCTGCCACGTGAGAAAATGCTGTTTGGCGATTTCTTGCGGCTGCTTCACCCTAGTGCAGCACTGTACCTTGCACATGGCTGCTGCCAGGTCCTCACTGCTTGCCTTGGCCGTGGAACTCAAACTCCCCACCATCGAGTTAGACCGGGCGTGACTTACTCAACTTGTTCGGTTGCTTCTCGCTTAGTGTTCCCTTATTCTTTGAGGTTGGTTAGCTTTCAACAACGACTTGTCACCCAACCACAACATACAAAAAAACGGTGGCTCAGGCTCGTTCCAGGAGAGATCCATCAGCATCGGGGATTGGGCCCACTCTAACCTATCTGGCCCGTTTTTCATGCGGAGATTCCAAGCCCTTAGGCCTACTCCGATGTCAGGGCTTTCGGCCTCCCTCTGTTGCTGATCCCCTTCCAGGAGTCACTGTGCCCACTTGTCGTTTTCTGGTACCAGTTCAGCAGGATGACTCTCCAGCTCTTTCTTCCAACCAAGAGGCTTCCTGAGCGCCCTACACCTTCAAGCACTGCCCTCAGTCATTCTTTCCTTGGGCATTCTGGCATGGGTAGACTCTGTAATGTATAAATGTACATGCAACAGGACCACCCCCTGCCGTAGCCAATGTGGCCCCAGGGGACATAATACAGTAACGTGGACACGATGCAGACCACCACACAGATAGCTGATCTGCTTTGCTTTCGAAGCCTCTGTACACTGTCCATCGCTACGTCTGTACCTCAGCCAACCATTCTTTGTGAGCATTCAGGCATATAGTAGGTGCTACTCTTTATTGGACCACCCTACATTGTCTTTTGGGGTGGCCTCCGGTGAGTACGAGAGTCACTTACACTCAGTGTGAGCCGTTGCTGAAATATCTCCTTTCATTACGCTACATATCAGCACCTGACCAGCACTGGGGGAGCTTAGTAGGTAAACAGAGAAGTGCATTATCCTCCTTATTACACTCCCCCTTCACTCCCTGGGCTGTTCCGGTGAATATGATTTAGTCTAGGTACGAGCAGTCTACCGGCTGTAACCTTGCATGGGACCTGCGGGAGATAATTCTACACAATGCCCGCAGACCCCTTATGACCTTCACACGCCTGATCCCACTGCCGTCTGAGACTTTGTCATCGGGAAACCTAGGCGTGTACTCGTCAACAGTGGGCCACGGGCGGACTGACCTCCATTTCTGGCTCTGCCCTGGTGGCTACGTAGTCCGTATTTGGTCCTTCTGTTACTTTCTCCAATCCACATCCATAATTTATGCATCCAAATTTACTGAACTTTACACCGTAGTGGATTCCAAATGCTTCTTGTTATCCAGACGTGGGATCCTTTGATGTGGGTGTGTCCAAATTTACATACTGTCACTGTTACGAGGTCCGATAAAAGTTGGTTTACCGTCAGCTACAATTTTCTTTATATGCATGCTCTCAGGTTCCCTCATCTGTTTACACCTGTGTGATCAATACAAAGAGGTACACTGCCGTATAAAAGTCCGATCGCACCTGAGTGCACAACAAAATGTGTGTTTTTTTGCATGAAAAGAAAAAAAAAATTCCACAAAAGCAATACCTGTGTTTGTGTTGATATGTTTATTTCATTTAATTCACGTTTCCAGTTCTAAAACATGAATTGGTGAATAATTACGGGCCTGGTAATTAAAGTCCCTCCGTGCGTGTGCACAAAGTCAGTGGGCAGTATTCTCATTAGCATATCATTAAAGATGGCGGCGCCCAGTGTCGGAGAATTCCAGAAATCCAGTGATAGGGTTTAGTATCGCGTAAATGCCCCACCAGCGTCGATAACAGCCTGGCACCGCCTTGACATCGACTCCAGGAGATTGGTGATGACCTGTTGGTCCATTCTCTCCCAAATCCGATTAACAATCTGGAACAGTTATCTTTATTTGCCGGCCGAATATCATGTTGAAGGCGGCAGTCAATTTCGTTCCACAGATTTTCAATCGGGTTCAGGTTGGGACTCTGGGCCAGCCAAGTCATCACCTCAAACTGCCAATTCCCCCCCATTTCTCGAATAACCTCTGGGGTGGGATCAGCAAAGAATTCCTGCGTGATTCTGGCAGTATGCGATGGAGCATTGTCTTGTTGAAACAGGAATTCATGGCCGATCAAATAGTGGGCCAATGGCAGTATGTTTTCCTGGAGAATGTCAGTGTAAACTGCAGCGTTGATGTTGGCA